TCTAGGTCCAGGCTTGCAGGCGACATCGTTTTTTGCCCTCGTTCCCGTTGTCATTGTTTTCAGTGGAAATTCTTAGAAGTCTCTCTCAGGGCAGTTAATAGCTTGGATCCCTGTTTTAGAGTGCTTTAACCCCTTCCTGCCCCCAGCCTTGACGTCTCCATGCATGGTACCTCTTGTTTTGGGTGAAAGTCCTCTTTGAGTCCAGTACTGGCATTTTAGATCCGTTTTGTTTAACATGTTTGCCATGTACATCCCTGTAGTGGAGACAATGTCACACAGCTTTGCATCTTTGTGACACTGTTGAGCCGGGATCATTCCACATTACTTAGTAACAAAACTCGTTGACTTGGGTGTGTAAGTGACGTCACCCAGCAAGTATAGTTCCCTCTAGGGCTTTAGGCCATGCTAACGGTGTGGTGGTGCTTTTTTAGTTAAAACCCTTTTGTTGCAGTATATAAGCACGCTGTATAACAGCATTAGACTCAAGAATCTTGGTCCATGCTTCTGAATCCCAGTCTTCACAGTTAGTTGGTGTGCCTTAAGACTGGAAGAGTTTGGACACCTACTTGAGACTGAGATAGCACATGAGCAATAAACCAACAGTGCAACGCAGCTTTTGGAGTCAGTGCCAAGCACTGAGAGAGCTTTATGAAGTTTGGATATCCTTTTGCAGAGAAGGCAAGTGTTTTCTGTGCATGTGTACACATGCACACACCCAAATTTTCTGTGATGCTTGCAACTGGAAACAAATCAATATGATTACATTTGTCTTCATGTTACTCATAGTGCGTGTTGGGATACCTAGCACCTATGTAGTATCATATCTTTCTAAAGTACAATGCAACTAATTCCCACTGCACTTGAAGATTATTATCCCTCCTTCCCCCGACCCTGGCTTCCCTTTTGGTAAAAATAAGATTAAAATGCTTTTGCAAGGTGTGGTACTCTGAATCAGTGATCATACCTTAAAGCGTCTTACTGTCAGCTGAAATTTATCTTCTAAACATTACCAGAATGAGATTAGTGCTGAACAGCAGTTGTCTTTTGGGTCCAGGAAACAGCCTTGTCTAAACAATGCTGGAAGTCAGGGTTTTTTCCCTCTTTTTGCTTGTATGCAGGCATGGGATGTGTTTATTCAGGGCAGTGTAATCCAGGAAAGTAACTCTGGAAACATGAGCTACACACAGTCCTTTCCTGCAAATCACACTTTTTTTTTTTTTTAGAGAGTAACAGGGGTGGGGAGATGAGCTGGTGGGGGGAGGGTAAGAGTTGAGCTGGTTGGTAAAAGTCTTGCCACGGGCTTGGGATCTGTTTCAGATGACCTTCATCGTGAGCAGAGAGTATGTGGGTGGTGTTGGCTTTGTATTCTGACTTGTCCTAATAGCCAGTAATCCGATTACATTTAGGTTGACATTGTGGACATCTATGAGTCTATCCGTGAAAGGCAGCGTCATGACAGCGAAAGGTCTACCTGCAGCACCTTGGAGCAGAATGACATTGAAGCTGTTGAAGCGCTTGTTTGTATGAGCTCCTGGGGTCAAAGATCACAGAAAGGTGACATATTAAAGATAAGGCCACTTACACCTTTCTCAGATTCTGGTGATTTCACAATGCACGCTGAGGCTACGTCTGAATTACCAAAGGACTATTTATCTACACTGGTAAGAAAAACATGAAGGCAAAACAAATGTGCCTGACATCTGGGTGTTACATCTCTGCAATGTTTTAACTTGGCTGGAAAAGATAGCTTGTTCATGTGTCCCTGTGTAGAATAGCTACAGCATAGCCAGTGCTGTGTGTGCATAGAATAGCGAGGTGGGCATGTTGAGTTTGTGTTTTTCTTCCGTCTCTGGAATGGCAAATGTAGGAGTTTGATGCCTCGTTAAATCCAGATGTGAAAGCCCTTGCTGACAGGTTATTTAATTGGACAGGTGAGCTGAGGATGCTGGCTGGGTGGCTATTGTAGGTTTCTTGGGGCACTTTGAGTAAGAATGGCAGAGTGAGCCTGAGTGATTTGGCACCGACTTATCTGCAAGCACTATATGAGAAAGGCTCTTGATGACATTTGGCTTCACTCTGGTCATTATAAGAGAAAGTACAGGTTACCATTATGAAATAGACAATTTAATTAGTTTCTATGCTATGTGTTTGTACATGTAGTCTGTTATTTCTCCAGACTATTGGTCTACTCCAGCTGACTAATGTCGGTTGAATCACAATTTTTTTTGTTGCCATTTAGGTTGTAACAAAAGTAGGTATTAAAGAAGGGCTTGGTGCCATTCAGGTTTCAGACAGTTAAGGCCCATTTCAACCAGTAGGCTTCTAGTGTGCAGTTATGTCAGGAAAAAGGGGAATAATAGAGGAGAGAGGCTGAGGTGGTATGGCAGCTGGTTGACGGACTTCTCTCATACTCCTGCTGCTCAGTGTTCGCACTGCCGCTTGAGCAGCACTGGAGATAGGCATGAGTTTTCAGTGGTAAAGGAGGAACGAGAGGCAGTGGCAGCAAGAGAGCATGGAGAGAAATGGACGAATAAGAGGGGAAAGAGCAGTTCCATTTGTTTTTATTTCAGAAGTAGCCACCAGCTGATGGGGTAATCATTGATAAAAGATCTAGGGCTCGCTGGAAGCTTGAAATTGAAATGGTACAGTATCCCTATCTGTTGCTAGTCTGTTTTCTGTGAACAGCAGAGCGCTCATAGCCTCTTACAGTGGCACCCATTGCTGAGGAGAAAGGAATGACAGAGTTTTTTGTAGCGCATGAGTAGACTTGCAATGTTTTATGCGGGTTTACATCTGCCTCATTGCCTTCCTTTTATTAATATGCTTTTGAGCATATTCAGAATGGCCATCAGATGAGGCAATGTATGTAATCAGGTTGTCCCAAGAGGCAGGTTCTGAGATTCTGGGGAGGGGGTGTAATTTTATTTTTCACAGTAAAGATAGTGAAAAATTGTGCTATGAAATTACACTGCTGTATAATGATGTTCTCTTTTTTGCAGTGCATGACCCCTCCACACAGCCCTGACTTTGTTGAGATATCAGCTGCTATGCTCCTCTCCTCACAAGTCACTTACTCCAAACCAAGGACTGTCATGGCAAATACAGCTGCCTGCTCAGTCACATCAGCGACCGGTGCCTCTCCCATAACCAAGCCATCTGTTATCAACATGGAGCGACAGTGCAGCCAGAAGCCAGTGATACCTGAATCCTTTGCCCCTCAGCCTTGCAGGGCCATGGCCACAAGTGTGATACGTCACACAGGTGACAGTCCTGCTGCGCAAGAGAAAACAAAGGTAACTTCAGGCTACAGCACTTCCAGAGACTGGTGTGGAGTGGATGACCGAAGACATTCCAGACTGCCACAGGACACGAGTGCTGCAGATGATTTAATTAACAAAACCTCTCCAGTACATCAGCCTTATACACGTGACTCCAGTGATATTGTGACCAATAAAGGACAACTACCAGTCCGGCCTGTTTCACCACAGACCCACTTACCAAAGAATTGTGAGAATGACTTGCAAAAAAGAGCTACCCCAGTGACACCTGCCCCCGTTTCAAGCCCCCAGGTTCTCTGTCAAATGATCCCTTTAAATGGACAAAGCAGTATGATCAATGCCTATGTCAAGCCTTCAACTCCAACAGTCTCAACTCCCATGAAACCTATTTTACCGCAGACAGCCCCTCTCTCTCAGCCTGTACTCATGGGACCTTCTGTGCCTCAGGGGACCGTCATGTTGGTTCTTCCACAGACTGCTGTCACACAGACACCGCAGTGCCCGCAAACAGTAATGACTGTTGGGAACACCAAGTTACTGCCCCTTGCTCCTGCTCCTGTGTTCATCGCTTCTGGTCAAAGCTGTGCCCCGCAGATGGACTTTTCTAGACGGAGGAATTATGTTTGCAACTTCCCTGGGTGCAAGAAAACCTATTTCAAAAGTTCCCACCTCAAAGCCCACCTTCGCACCCACACTGGTGTGTACAACAGGACGGGTGCTTTGTTGCTCCGGCACTGGCTTGCGTTGGGGTGCTGAAATGCACATTTTTCAGGGGGAGGGAGTGGGAAGGGGAAGAGGCAGGTGATCGGGAAACTTCTGCTCATCTCGGAGAAGGGAGGAATGTTCATTCTCCATGGGCAAGCAAAACAAGACAGACTTTGTTCAGAGACCTCAGCTGACCCCATAGTGTTAGTTGAATTTCACATGCTTTAGTTGGAGCAAAGCTTTGCCGTCTGTGTGTGTGTGTGTTTAGATTTGAGTGGAATCCTGCCATCTGGACTAGATCGAAATGAATTGTGCAAGTCACTTTTTTTGGGGCATGCAGAGGTCTGGTGTAAGCAAACCGTAGTACGGGTAGTTGGTCTTAATTGCTACACAAGTAAAAGAAAAGAGAGAAAGTCCGAAACTGCACATTTTCCAGAGTTTTGTTTAGGCTAAATGGGAATGCATTGAGATTTTGGGGTACTGTGTTAGGAAGTAGAGCTGCTACAGGAATGTAGCAGTTTATTCAGTTACAGAAAGGGAATTTTAAAGGTAAATGAAAATTAATTGTAATTAATGCGAGCTGATTTGCTGATTAAAATCTGGTCAGTGTGGAGACAGTATACATGTGTTTTAGTTATCCTTTTTCTAGCTCCAAGATCCTGTTAAGTTAACACTAACTTTGAGTTCTCAGGGACTATTTTTGATGTTGAGGGACAGGTGTGGTGGGAGATTGGTAAGAACAGCTCATTCAAAAATTTGTGTAATTTTTTTGCTTGGCTCTTTTCCTTGGCTCTTTTCCCCCACCCTCCCTTACCCCACAGACACTGTGGTTTATTGTGTGTCAGCTTCCATGACAGGATTTGCATTAGTTTGTCAGCCTGTCTTTACAGTTCCTTTGGGGAAAAAGCTTAAACCTCCTATGAAGCTGATAATCCTTGTAAACCAGAGCTCTTCTTCTGGCCTGAGAGTAAGAGCTGCAGGCTGCTGAATTAACCTGGCGCTGCAGGATAACCATAGACTAGCAACAAGTGTCTCGCTTTGAGCACATGCTGCTGATGATCCGTAGGGAAGCTGTGTGTGTCCCTGTATCGCGATTAAGACTAGGACGGCTATGGTAGGTGAAGCACACTGCCCCTTCACTAGCCAGTCCATGTTACAGGATTGGCGGGCAGAGTAGTTTGGCTTTTTTTCCCACCTTTTCCCTGCACATTGAGTAGCTAGGTGGTATCACATACACCAAACGTAGAATTTTACTCTCAATATCTGAAATAAGAACAACGCTTCTGTGGGGCTTCCTTTCTGCTGGACACTTTTGTTCTGCTCCAAAGTGTTACCATGAATTTGGGTCATGTGGTAGATGTTTATCTTGAGCTTTATGGGGTTTGCAGGCGATAGGTCATGTTGTTTAGGATAGATCTGCAGGATGAGCAGAAGCTGACGTGGACAGCCCTCCTGACTGCTGTCATTCCTGGGTGTGCAGAACTCCCCTAGCTGTCTGCTGGACCTCCAGCTGCGTGGGGATGGCAGGACAGGCCGTTCCTCAGTAGTACTCGCTGGGGTGGTGTCTTTGTGTGCAGGACCAAATCACTGGCGCAGCAGGACTCAGAGGCTCGATTCCAGGCTTCCTGTTTGCCCGCAGTGTTTGCCGGTGACATGCGGCAGCCATAGAGCTGTGGTCACACGGGTGGGGGGCAGAGAGTTGCTTCTAGTTCGGTCAGCGGATAAGGTAGCTTTATGGAAAATCTTTAAACTGGGGTTTTGGACAATTAAAAAAACAGACTTGATTAAAGAACATTTAAAGAGATACGAGGGAATAAGTAGAAACGATACCTATGATTTTTCTCTGGAGCACAACTTGAGCTTAAGCTAATGTTGACTGCACACATGAGCAGTTCTGTGGAATTCATCAGTTTTTGCAAGGCAGGATTTAAGTTAATTCTTTGATAAAACTGTAACACAGCCTCTCAGAAGTAAGTTATGCTTCTTTTATGTCCTGCAGGAGAAAAGCCTTTCAGCTGCAACTGGGATGGCTGTGACAAGAAGTTTGCCCGCTCAGATGAACTGTCACGCCACCGTAGAACTCACACGGGAGAGAAGAAGTTTGCTTGTCCTGTGTGCGAGCGCCGCTTCATGCGCAGCGATCACTTGACAAAGCACACCCGCCGCCATATGACCACAAAGAAGATCCCCAGCTGGCAGACAGAGGTTGGCAAACTCAACAGAATTGCCGCAGCAGAGAAACCGAAAAGCAGCAGTGCTCTGAGTATGCTCATCCCTGTGCCATCATCTGTCTGCCAGGGCTAGTGTGAGGAAGCACCTTCTCTACAAACTTTCTGAAGATCAGGAAGAGCTCTGATGGCTACAACAGAACTGACAATGGCTTTTTTCCCCATGTTTGTGCATACTTTAGTTTTCTTCAGTTTAGGGCCTCTGTTAATAATGCTATGTGAGAAATCTATCATATCTTTCCTTGTCCCTTCCCAATTTGTTTTTTTCAATACTTGGGCAAATGCAATCACCAGCACTTCAGGAAAGCAGAACTCTTTGGAAATTATTTTGGCAATAGGTTAAAAACGTCACTTGTAATGCTTGCTGTTGATATTTTGATGGACAGTAAAACAGGGTGATTTTTAATTTTTATACTAGTATTTTCTATACCAAATATATTTTGTATTTATTCATTTTGGTCTTGATACGTAGGCAAATTACTTGACCTGCATTAGTAGGGGTGTGCAGGATGAGACCCAGAGTTGTTTTGGAAACTCCTTTTCAGTAAACCTAAAGAATTGCATTCAGAGCATTTTGTAAACACATAATATTTGATAACTCATAGTGGTTGGGATTTTCACACTTGCAGATCCTGATCCTGCATTGGGCTGGTGCTGTTACACCCTCCTTACGCAGGTGACATTGGAGATTTGACAGCGAAGTGTGTCATCATTTTTAAAACAAACCAAACCAGAATGACTTTATTTCAGAAAAGAAGTGTTGAAATCCTCAACATTTTATAAATTCATACCCTTTGCAAGTGGAAGCTGTTGTGACTTTTGGTAGAAGTTTGACATACTGAGCATTCCTGAGTCCACACTCCACTGGAGCAAAGTTTGGAGGAGCCAGACTGCTCTGATGGAGGTAGAAGCACAAACACTGTTCAGAAGCTTTGACACTAAAAATTATGCTTTACTTTCAGTCCTGCTAAACCAGCATATCAAAATCTACTGAAAAATGCAAAAATGGCAAGATAACCCATGAATAAGCTGGGTCTCTGTTTATATCTTTTTTTGAGTACAGGAGAACTAGAAAATTAAGGTTTTTTTATGTATCGTGGATGCTTGTGCACCTTATAGGAAATTGTTCAAGGCTTTCATTTACCTGTATCAAAGCACCAGAGGAAGTACTAATCATGTCTTGACTTAAGAAATAGCCACCATGTCAACTTGATGATGCTCTTCATGTGGCCTTATACTTCTCCACAGTACTTTGTATAAAATCACCCTTTTCTATTAAATGAGATACTCTCCATGTTGAATGGATTTTCTTTTACACCAAGTGTAAATACAGCTAAGAAGTGGAATCACTGGCTGCAGGAGTGCTGTGTTGTAATGGCGTGGTATGAGTAATAAAATGAAATGCCCGTAGCGCAATCAGACTGCTCAGTTTCCGTGGTGCGGAAGGACGTGCATACGTATTGTAGCAGAGCTGACAGTAGAGCTGTTGTGCTGTTCGGCACCAGGTGTTGTTTTGCTGGGAGACAGCTCACCTGCTGGATGAAATATTTCTGTAGTGTTTATTCCTTCTGGACTCTTCTCCCTTCAGCCACTCCTACGCTGAAGCTTAGCTGAGCACTGAGGAGGACTATTTTTCCTGGATGTGTAAAATGTGGATAACTAGGAATGCGCTCTCTCTTGCACTGCTTTGTTGTTCTGAAATCCTGGTCTTGCTTCTCGGTGTGGGCAAAGCATGGCTCTCATCTAAATAAGTGCAGACTTGCTGATCTCGGCTAGCACTCCCCTGAAATCGGCAGAGACCTGTTTCAGTTGAAAGCAGAATACATCATTATTTTTTACACTTAAGTCTATAGTTACAATTAATGGTAACAAGTTTTCAAACTGCACTTAATTGGAGTATTGTGCTACGTGTACTAAAGTTTTTGTGCCTGACCTGTAAAGTGTCCACACCCTGTTCGCTCAGCACAGGCTGTAATCCCGCTGCCCGCAGCGCACGTGCTGGTGAGTGTGCGTGTGCGTATGCAAACCTTGCTTTGTGCTCTCCAGAGGGCTCTTCCTGGACCCTTGTAGTGTTGCTGTTCTCTGTCGATACCCAGTTTTCCAAATTCGTGTAATGAAGAAAGAGACACTGCTGCTCTTTTGCTCAGAAGTTCCTTAGAACATGAAGTTTGACTTCTGGATGCCATTGTAGCATGCTTTTAACTGCGGGAAGAGCATCCTGTCTCAGTCCAGTAGCCAATTTAGTACTTCATTTTTTTTACAGAATTATGGTGTTCACCTGAGCAAAACAGTTTGGAAACTAGTGTCGTAATTTACTAAGTTGTCATGTTAGTTTGTTTCATCGTGGGGGGGAAATGGTGGACTGGAGAATATGGAATTTCAAAAAATGTGTGTCACGATGCGGAAAAGCGATGGCTCCCTCCTTGTTAGGTTTGCCTGGCCTGCGATTCCTCGCAGCCGGCTCCTGCGAGGGGTGCGCTGCCTCCCGCCACCCGTGTCCCGGACGTGCAGCTCTTTCTCCTGTGATGTGCACGAATAGCTGAGCCGCGGTGTGGCTGCGTCTGCTCTGTTTGCTCTTTCTGTTCCTTCCTGCTGTGTAAGGGTTATTTATGGATTAAGCATGACTGGGATAGCTGCTCTCTTTGCACTTTACTGCCTGAACTATATTGTTCAGTCTTCTTATTTTGAGCCTATATTTTAAAGAAATGGAATAACATTTTTGTACCTGTTTTTAACTTTTATTAAATAAAAAGTATGTAATGTGGCTGGTTTTAAATAATCAAAAAATTGTGAATTTTCAGGTCTCACACACGTCCTTTCCAGAGCTATGTAAATCCATCTGGATTAGGTTATATATCTAGGCCAGTGGAAGACTTTGGGGCTCTATAGTTCACTTACCTGTAAAGGCAGGACTTTCTGGATCCTGTTGTAAATTGACCAGTGCTTGTCCATTTATAATTTTACACAACGCTTCTTGTGTATTTGCTAGAACGCGTACACCACTGCCAGGGTCTGGGGTTTTTGCATGCTTTCTGAAAACAAGAGTCTCGGGGTTCACAACTGTTCTAGCATGGCCTCCAGAAGCTATCAACAAAAGCTAATGGTCTGAGTGCTGCTCTGTTAGTGTTGCAAGCTGTGCATGGCATGAACACTGGAAATAAAGGAGAGATGAGAATTTGACTCAAAAGATGGCTGCATTAGCCCTGGTTCTTCCCGTTCCCGCGTACCTGTGCTCTGGCGGGAAAGTGGCTCTGGCAGGCTGGTGTCTCCTCCAGGTCTCGGCTGGGAAAGAGGTATCTAGCGCCGGTGACAGCAGCAACAACTACTTTAAATTTTTAAGCATCTCTGCTGTTTCTCTCCCTCTGACCAGTTCCCAGATTGCAGCAGTGTTTATTTCTAGCAGGGTCACGTTTTAATGGAAGAGAAGGGGAGGAGAGGGTGTAATGATACCAGCTTTCTGTCACAGCCTTTCACTGCGAGGTGACTCAGTCTCTGCAGGCAGAGCCCTCGGAGTGCGAAATGGGAGCGGAGACTCAAGGCTTTAGAAGTGCACGTGTGCAGAAGCGCACATTGTTCTTGCAAGTGTGCAGAAGATGGAAAGAGAAGATCCTGCGGATGGTCCTGCTTCCCCTTCAGGAGAACGACTGGAAGGGATGGCTTTACTGCGGGATCAATGCTCTGGCAGAGTAGCACAAGCCCTTCAGCCCCTGGGCTCTGCAGGTCTCCACAAACCTTTGTGTCCCGGGGAGGATGTCCTACCTGTCTGTTCCTACTACTATTTTTCAAGGAAGATTTTTCTGAGCATCAAGTCATATCCTAAACAATACCTGTAATTTTTTTGCCCATTTTTATATTGTCTCCCTCGCTTTGCTTCAATGAAACATGACTATGGATTTCACAGTTCTGTGCTCATCTTTTTGCTTTTCCTTAGAACCAAGCTGTGGTCTGAGCTGTTATGTGCAGTCGGCACACATCCTAACGGGGCTGGAGTCTGGAACAGCTTCATCCTGTGAGAGAAAACAGCTCGCACGTGAGGAAGCCTTCCCAGCTACTGCTGTGCTAACACAGGCATCGTGCGGGCAAAAGTCTTTCTATCTTGTAGCCATTCTAAATCCATGAAAACTAATAATTTTCTAAAGAAAAATGCATGTGCACTCAAACGTGTCCATTGCTTTAATGCTACATTTTGCAGTTAGACCAGCATTGCCTTCCTGCGTGTGGTTATACAGCCAAACTGTCAGCTTAGCGGCAGCTTGCCTCGTCTTGCTCACAAAGCAATGAGCACCGATCCACTTGCGCTTAGGGTACTGGAAGCGCGAGTCCGTTCTGAAGCTGCGGTGCTGGGCGGGCAGAGGTGGCCCGTGGTGCCGGGTGGTTGCACACTCGATGTGCTCCTCTGGCTTAGGCTACAGCTCTGGCTGACTCTTCAGTTCCAGCTGTGAAAGCTGTGCTCAGCATCCTGTGAATGATGAAGGTGGCACTTCATCTGCCGTCTCTTGTGAGCCGAATCCTGCCTCAGGGTTACATCTGGCTTGAGTTCATCTGCTGGGACAAATCTTCTAACTGGTTTTGAAGTTTAATCTGTGAGCCCATCTGCCTGTATCTTCCGTTCGTGTCTGGCAAGGCAGCTTGAGGCAGGCAGGCTATGGCCATGAGAAGGCAAACTTCTTCCATGCCTGCAGAAAGAGTAAATCATGACTCAAAACCTGGCAACCTAGAGGCTAAGGAAACGGTGAGACGGTTCGGGAGGATGCTGCAAAGCCTCAGCCGTGTCTGTTTGCAGTCCATAGGATTACCTCCCCTGCAGCGAGGGTGTTAGCCCTGAGGCATTTTCTTTCCAGTCTGGTTTTGACCTCTGCCAAATGCAGCCTTCCTCAATCTCTGCTTCAGTCCTTGAGTGTAGGAGGAGGAAATGGGTGACATTTACATCCTGGTGTGTGCAGAAGGCCATGGGCACATCTTACATGTGCTGAAAACTTGAGGAAGCTGGAGCATACCTTTTCCTGGGAGAGTGTTTTTCTGGATGGGAAGAATGCTTTAGATTTAATTTTCTCCCCTGTAGTCTCTCTCAAGTTCAGAGTGATTTCTATTCTGTTGTTTATTGTTGTCCAGATAAACTCACTTCACCCTGTGCAAATAATTGCCATGTCCTGTGTCCAGAGTGGGGGGAGGGAAAAACCTCTGTTGTGGATGAAGTCTGTGCCAGGCAGCTGCTGCTCCACCTCCCCTGCCAAGCGTGGTGGGGAGCTCTGCCACGCTCGTGTGGCGCAACTCCAGGGCTGCACCTTGTCCGGGGCCATGGCTCTGTTTCATCTCCTCGGGTGTGCGTGCGAATAGCTTGGCTGAAAGCTTGTTGGGTTTGAGCCTCAGAGGAAGGCGGTTGGGGAAGAGCAACCCTGGGGTGGTGAGGGTGCCAGCCTCCTTTCTCATCCAATATTGTGAAGGCAAGTAGGTGACAGCAGGGCGCTGGACATGATGCGTCAAGGAACTATTAGTTGCTCTGCTCTCAGAGGTCTTGGCAATGGGATGCTGGCAGATACACATGTATGGGAGCGATCCTCACA